ACTCAGGACCTTGCACTTGCCAGACAGGCACTTAAGCTGCTGAGTTATCTCCCTAACCCAAGACTTCTCTGAGTATATCTTATTGTATAGTTTTGACTCTGGAAATGTGAATAACTAGTATAGCCAACAGTTAAAAGCAATTCTAGGGGTCCAGGGATATAGTTCAGCATAAGCACCTGCCTGGTAAGCAGAAGGTCCCGAGGTCAATCCCCGGTACCAAAAACTTTTTCAATTTATTTAGTACAGGGTCTCACTACATAGATCAGACTCTAGTGATTTTCCTGTTTTTAGTCTCCCAAGCACTGGGATTACAGGCAAGTACCACCACGTCCAGTCTCAATTGCTGTTTCAGTGTGCCCCGTGGTCAGGGCTGGCATGGCACAACGGGGATTGAAATTTGGCCACTGCGCTCTGCCTAAGCAGGCGCTTTAGTCTGCTGAGCTATCTGGCTGGCCCCCAAAAAACATTTTTTAAAAAGCAACTCTATAAAAACTATTAAAAACAAATCACAAATTAGTAAATTAAATATGCAGGGAAAGATAATCATGTAAGTGACAAAACTTGTCTATGCAATGTCCATTAGTTTCTTGACATTCCTGGAAAAAAGTACCACAAACTTGGAGACCTAAGCCAAATAAATTTTCTCACATTTATGAAGGCCTGTCATGCACAACCAAGGTGTTGAGAGGGTGGTTGTTTATAGAGGCTGAGAAAAACTTTGATGCCTTTTCCTTGGCACTAGGGTTGCACAGTCCTTGTGTTAGGGCACCACAGCTCTAGTCTTTACCTCTGGCATCTCATAGCATGTTTGTGTATCTTCATGTCTTCTTGCCTATGGGTATATCTGTCTCTGTGTATCATCCTGTATTACAGTGACACTAGAAAGAGCCCAGCCTTCTCCAGTATGACCTTGACCTTTGTTCTTGTTGGGATTTTTTGTTTTGTTTTTTGGAGATAAAGTCTCACTTTGTAGTGCAGGCTGGCGTCCAAGTCCTGGTGATCCTCCTGCTTCAGTTTCCCAAGTGATAGATTATAGGTGTGTGCCACATCCCTTGCTCCTTGTTTTGATTTTTTTTTTTTTTTAATTTTTGTATTTCGTACAGGGTCTCACTATGCAGCTTGGACTTGTAGTGAGCCTCCTGTTTTCAGCCTCCCCAGCACTGGGATTACAGGCATGTGCCCTCACACCCAGTCTCAGTGGCCAGCTCAGCATGCTGAGGGGTGGGGCCCACACGGCCTGTGGTGTGGGGAATTGAACCCCGGTCCCTGCGCTTGCCTAAACATGCACTTAGTCTGCTGAGCTATCTCACCAGTCCTTGCTCCTTGTTTTAATTTGTTACATCTGCAGGGGCCCTGTTTCCAAGCCCTATCACATTCTCAGGCACCAGGTGTTAGGACTACAGCATACCTTGTGGGAGACATAATTCAACCCACAAAACAATGTATTTGTGATGGTTAAATTTATTTGTCAGCTTGATTGGGCCATCATAACCAGATGTTAGGTAGGCGTTATTTTGGCTGTTTCTGTGAGGGCTTTTAGGTAACATGAACATTAAGCTGGTGGACTTTAAAGCAAATAGTCCGCTATAGTGTGGGTGGCTTCATCCAATTAGTTAAAGGCTTTAACAGAACAGACTGAGTTCCCTGGCAAGAGGGAATTCAGGGGGCTGGTGAGATGGCTCAGTGGTCTAAAGCACCTACTTAGAACAAGTTTAGCAAAGCCAGCCAGCCCCGCCCCCTGGTGGACTGAGCTGGCCACACACACACACACACACACACACACACACACACACAAATAAATTAAAAAAAAAAAAAAAGAGGGAATTCAGCCAGCAGATAGCCTGCTGTGTTGATGTATACCACTGACCCTTTCTTGGGTCTCCAGGTGCCAGCATGTCCCAAAGATTTAGACTTGGACCTGATAGCTTCCATGAGTAAATATCTTTTTCTGTCTCCATATGCATACCAATCCAGGCCCTGTTGGTTCTGTTTCTTTTGAGAGAATTCCTTGTTGTTGTTCTTATTGTTGTTGTAAGTGAGGTCTTACTATGTTACCCAGACTGGTGTCAAACTCATGGACTCATCCTGCCTTATCCTCCTATGTATCTGGGACTGCAGCGCATCTCTGGGGAAGTCTAATACAGACTGAAGACAAAGTAAACCTACAAGAAAATCTTGGGGTTTTTTTGTTTGTTTTGTTTTGTTTTGTTTGGTACCAGGGATTGAATTCAGGCCCTTGTGCTTGCCAGGCAGGCATTTAAGCCATTGAGCTATCTCCCCAACCCTGAAAAATCTTAGTCTTCATTGAGTTAATACCTTGAGACAATTTTAATGTCCTATATGTTGTTAGATAATACAAATAAGTAGGACCACAGAGATGGATTAGTGGAGTAAGTGCATCCCTGGCAAGTGTAAGGGCCTAAGTTCAATCCCTGGTTCCACAAAAAAAAAAAAAAAAGAATTCAAATAAGTAACTTACAGTGGCTAAAAATCAAGATTATAGTTTGTAAGTAAAGAAATGCAAGCATAGGGGCCAGGAAGATGGTTCAGTGGAATAAGCGCTTCCCTGGCAAGCACAAGGGCCTGAGTTCAATCCCCAGTTCGGCAAAAAAAAAAAAAAAAAAAAAAAGAAATACAAGTATAAAATCAAAGAAATTAGGGCCGGGGAGATGGCTCAGTAGAATAAGCGCTTCTCTGGCAAGTGCAAGGGCCTGAGTTCAATCCTCGGTTCTGCAAAAAAAAAAAAAAAAAAAAAAAAAAAAAAAGAGTTGAAAGAAATTAAGTACATTCCTCTATGGTTTAATTATAATTGAAAATAGCAGTATAACTCTTCCTTTCCCATCTTTTTTATTCTTTGAGACAGGGTTCATTAATAAAGACTAATGGGGTCATGTCAGACACAGAAGCCAATAGATGGGATAAAAGTAGAACAATTTAAGCTGAAAAAATATTTGCAGTTGATTAAAAACATATTCAGTATACTCAATTCACATTGACAAGAGAGGGCCTGGGAGATACCCATGCTGAGATAATGAGTTTGGGCTGGCTTCAAAATCATTAGGTAGCCCAGGCTGGCCTCAAACTTGGGCAGTCCTCCTTTTGCGGCCTCCTGAGTGCTAGAATTACAGGCATGCACCACCAAACCCTGTGAAATCTTTGAGAAGTTTTAAATACAGTTTACTAAAAACTCATATACATTTGTGGATCACTTACTGTGGGCCAATGCCTGTCACCATGTCTTGCATAAAGTTAAACAACCAGCCAATATTTATTTAAAAGGGTGGATGAAAAAGTAAATCTCTGATTACCTTTTAGTCAAGGAAATATGACAAAGGAAATATTACGAAATGAAAATTACTGTGTGATTCATTTCTACAAATTTCTAAAAATCACTGCAGCTGTGGGTCTAAGGACTATAGGGGTCATTCACTGCAAACTTCACCTCTGAGGCCACCCTTGTAACCTGATTCTGGTGGTGAGACTGCCCAGGATGTGTGGTAGCACATCAGAGTATTAAGCGTGTACACATAGTCTTTGCCACTGCTACAGAAATCCCACTTCTAGAAATACATTCTCAGATGATCAGATAAGGGACAAATAGACTATGGTAAATTGGCAAATAGTGGTTAGCTGAGCTGAACCAGTGTGGTTCTGGGTGTAAGAGGCCCATCTGCTGATGATTGCTGGCAGCCTAAGAGGCAAAATAGAAGTAGGAGGAGAAGGAGGAAGAAAAAGAGAAGGAGGACGAGTAGGAGGGTTGTTAGAGAAGCTGTTGGGAAGCTGTGGGGAGCTGTTGGTTCCTTCAGAGGAGCTTGTCATGTTTACTTTCCTGGTGAACTGGTCTATTCTCATCATCAAAAGAGCTTGAGATCTTGTGGCTGCAAATAGCTATAGTTCATTGTGAGGAAGCTCTGATCCTTTGAGCATTACTTGCTGGCTCCGGAGGGGAAGATGGTGCACTGTTCAGTCTCCTGGAGAAGCTTGTCACTCGGTTTTCCTCATCATCAGAGGGGACCTCACTGTCGCTTAGGATGGCTGTGGTATGGCCTTTGAGGGAGCTGAGGTTTGGCCTTTGAACAGCGCTTCCTGGCTCCAGTACAGATCCTTCATACCACTGGCGTGGATTTTCTAGCTTCCACAACTGACTTTGGGCCTTCCCAGAATAGATTTGTGAATCAGACCTGCATGAGACATTGTCATGGGCTCTAGGCCTCCATTTGGATTCATGTAGACCATTACCATGGGATCCAGGCCCTCCGTTGGATTCTTTGGTCTTTAGTGTGTGGACAGATTTCCTGGACTCTAAATATGATTCTTTGGGTGAATATTAGAAAAATCTTACAATTAAGTGTCCTGTACTATATTGTATTGTTTCC